AGCTTTCGCGGGTTTGTCGAAACGCAAAACTGTATCTCAACTACACCATGCAGGGTAACTGTATTTTATGACGCAAGATGTCCCCATGGATTACTTAAAGAATAACGTTATATAGAATATCGTTAATCATAGGATTTTCCTTCAGTGCCCAACAACATTGAAGTTTCATTAATCATAGTGTGTCAATTCAATGCTTAACAACTATGTACAGGAGTGAGCAAGTTAAATGTCGCCAAATGTTAAATTTTTTTGTTATCAAGAACATCACAACCGCCAGTGACAGGACGTTATATTACCTTTAATTTGTCAAGTTGTTAAAATGTCGAAGAAATAAAACCATGATTATTTAGCACCTGAAAAAATATTTCATACAAAACAGAGATTATATTCCTTAAATCGTTCCCGTCTATACATATTGTATGTATATATATATAATTGATTGTCAAGATATTCTAATGACGGTTATTGGTTTTTATAGAGCCAAAGCAATAGTCACCACACATCTATAGCACTGATTACTAGGACGTCATAAATGCCGTTGCTGAGGTTAAGATACTTACTTATTTAAGCCAATCGCCCCATACGAGACATGACCATCAACGGCTGTTTTCCAGCTAACTTGACTCTGGGCTGTCCTTTCTATTTCTCTTCAGGTGTACCCTGCTCTCTTTAAAGCTTGTGGGTTCCACGTCAGAGACTGCCGGGTGATATTGGATGTCGCCTTCCTTAGGGTATGTCCTATCCAACCCCACTTTCTGCCCTGAAATTGCTATTTTTACTTTGCCTTGCCGAAGTTTAATATTACCTATATTATTAATTCGCGTTCTTTGTATATCCGCGAACTACTTTCATAGTTATGAAGATAGCAGGACCAAACATGGCAGGCGAACTCGGGATGACCCCAAGAAGAGGTCCTTATCTATATGCCTTAGCCCCCAATTAAGGGAGGTACCAAGGGGACTAAACGCGCCCAGTATGTCATCAAGAAATGATGGGGGTCTAGGAGCAGGTTTGGAGGGTCGCTGAACTGAATCTGGCATCAGATTATGTGTTCCTGGTCTCCTTATTATCCTTATATCGCCATTTTTGAAATTGTGTTCATACCTTTATTCACAAGCTAGCGGAACCAAACTTGGCACACCTACTCAGGTACCAAGGGCGGGTGTGTCCTAATAGGTTATTTTATATGGATACGGATACCCCATGGAGTTGCTAGAGAAGTATTTAGAGATAATAAAGGAATTTGATCCCTACATTAGTGTCTGTGAACCACGAGGAGGAGGAGCTTTCTCAGTCACTGGTTTAGTTTCCTATTTTTTAAAGCATCAAAGCACCTTCAGTACTGACGATTAGGACGTTATAGCTACTGTCGCAAGGTGTTCATAATATTGTTATCAAGATGTTCTAATCGAGGTCGTCGGCTTAATTCTTGCCTTAACAACATCAAAACAATAGTCAATAGATTGGTACAACAAGTGATTCGGGCATTACACATACTGTCCCCAGATGTTAATATTACAATATTCAGTTTAAGTAGTGATCGTTAAGTTACTACACATTTGGTTATTGGAATATTATAAATATCGACGATAAAGTTATTATACTTATCAGTATAATATTTCCACTATCGATGGAACTTCAAACCACAGTTGGCGTTTTGTTTAATTGGCGCAAAGCTACACAGTGGGCTATCCGCGCTCTGTAAACCGCGGGGGAATCGAACCCCAGATTTTAGCATTGTAAGTCCGTAAACTTACCGCTGACCCACCGGATGTACACCACACTTGGTAAAGTGTTAATATCAAAAAGTAATAATCAGTATTTAAAATGTCGAAAGCACTATCAATATTTTAGGTTACTCTAATCTTGCTCTTGGAGATGTTATATACCTTAAATCTCTTGGTAACGAAGCCATATAAACACAACTGTTGTTCACATCTCAACTGGTATGGTTTTATATCCACCCTCGTAAATTCGCCGTTTCAAGGTCGTTAAACCGTTAAAACAACAGGAAAATTGACCAGATAGATAGATATGCACACACAATACGATCATCTGGCTTTCGTAAATACAGTCGACGCCCCATTAACGTCATTTTATTTTTACATCGTTGAAAAATAATATTAAATAAATGTTAAATAAAGTTTAAAAAAAAACGCACTGAAAATTCTTTCCGTAAATTTCTTCAGTGGGTTAGCTTTACTGGCTTTACTAAACCATTGCCAGCTCAACTATTTTTTTCAATATTGTAATATGGTACCTTTTTTATTTTATTCTGTATGAATTATTATTGTATCATACTCTGCCTTTTGTCATATGAAGGACGTTAAATAATGCTGCTGAAACACAAGTCCAACTTGTACCATCATACCAATCAGGTCGTTTCCAATAACATCGCATTAAATTAAAACGTAACAACGCCAAACTCATTCTCACTGACTAGTTTCCATAAAAATGGTTAATTTTTGGAACATCTCAAACTATATATTGTAAATTTAAGCCATATTAAAAAGTTCTAGAAAAAAAAATTTATTCTGGGGTCAACGAAAATAGTACTGAAAAAAGATATAAAATAATTAATCCTTATTAAGAAAAACGTAAAATCAATGACTCGTAGTTCTTACGTACTGTACTTACACAATTTCAATGTTGTTGTTTTTCAGATACACAGTTATTAGATTTTAGTGTATCCATATTTTATCTTTGAAATGAAGTTTAGGGAAAGTGTCTCATTTACAATTCCACAGTAAATGAATAATCGATAATTTCAGAACAAAAATAAACGAACTTTGCGAACAAAGGGCCAGTTCCTTAAATTATCCTTTCTTGTAAATAAAAATATTAATTTATCTATAAATCATACTATTATTATCATAGGAGATTACTGAAGTAAAGAATAAGTGATGTAATATTAAGTTAACATATGATGAATCTGTCGAAAATTATGCTAATAGAATATCGAAGTAAAAAAAAAGTTTTTAATAAGTTGTAGTTAACGAATGCTCAAACATTAAACTAGTGAAGTACGGGATTACTTCATTGAATAAACAGAAAACATTCAAGTAAGTAGTTGTTCAAAATGCATGAATTTACATATAAATTTATATATAGTTAATTTCGTTAACAGTATTGGTTGTAATAGTTACTATATCAAATGCTATTACAAATGTTTGGCACTGTTATCTTAAAATATGTATTTAGTATTAATCTAAATCTCCTAAGCTGGCCGGACCTCGCGAGATTTATTGGTTTACGGCCGAAAATATCGTCAACAGCGAGGATACCCAACTGTTGAAACAATGGAATTTAATCTTTATAAATAAAAACGCAATAAAATTACATTTAATTAGCTTTAATGATGGGCAGGTTGATTTTTTTTGTTTGCTGAATTTCGCGTATGGCTTCACGAGGAATATCTGCGCTAGCCGTCCCTAATTTAGCAGTGAAAGACTAGAGGGAAAGCAACCAGTCAACACCACCCACCGCCAACTCTTCGGATAGCTACTCTTTTACCCCCAAAAAAGTGGGATTGACCTTCACTTTATAACGCCCCTGCGAATGAAAGGGGGCGCATGTTCGGTGACGAGATTCTAACCTGCGACCTGCAGATAGCGAGTCAAGTGCCCTAACCACTGTTCCACGTCAGATCTAATGTTGATTTTGAGTTTCGCTCAAAGTGCATAACTTATTCTAATCAAAAGTTATTATTAATTATTTGCTTCGGATATTGTCGAAAAACTACACACAGCACTAACCCACCGTAATTGTGAACCGCTACACTATAGAAGGTAGCTTGTCAACAGCAACCACCGCCAACTTTTGGGCTACTCTAATTGAATAGCAAGATTTGACCGTCACCCATATAACGCTACTACGGCCAAAAAGTGCGGATCGAGATATAGTCTCGACAGAAGGGCATTGGTCAAAGGCTATTATTTTACTCCAGGCATTGAGCAAAGGCTATTTATTCTTTTACTCCAAACGCCCAGATTCCTCACTATTTTTATAGTAAACACATTTAATTATTTTATGTGTATAAATATAAGTCAACAACAAGTTATTACCTTAGTTTTTCTAATCTAAATAAATGCCTTTCTGTGAAATAATTCTGTTTCAGGTGATCAACATTTAATAGTCGTAGTCATCAACCCTTATATGCTCAATAAACCCAGTCTCTCACACTCCTATAACTATCAACTAAGTGAGCTATGCATTTTGTGAACAGAAAACTTCTAGACAAATGGTTTTGTACTCTCAACTTGGTATAGTTTATGTTACAATACAATCACTATTTTAACGGGTCAGATATTTTTAAATAGCATCTTTTGTGCTGATTAGATATGCAACACTTGTAGCTAATACTTTTGTAAATACGATCCTCAACTTAGTTTAGTTTACTTTATTATATATATATATATGTATGTATGTGTGTGTGTGTGTGTATATATATAATATTTGAATGGGTAACATATTTCTAACTAGTATCCTTAGTGTTAGTTAGCTATATGAAGGATGCCTGAAAATGTTTTCTATTAGCTTTACTTGTTTATTGATTCTGTTTATCAACATTTCACCTTCAACCTTACCAGTTCATTATTTTTAAAATATCTTCAAGCGCTTTCTAAATGATAAAAACGGGTAATTCTAAAAAAAATTAATTAATCAGTTTTTTTGTTTTCATGACTGGCTAATGCTTTCAGTCCAAATGAATTATTTGCTGACCACCATTTTTTTTTCAGTTTAATTGTGACATTTTATTTTTTGTACGATTTTTGTTTTACATCGAACAGACGTCTATAAAATATTATCTAATTTCAATATTGATTGAAAGTATAGTTGCAGTGGATAAATAAATTTGAAATCGCTATGTGTATCATAAAAACATTCTCCAATGGCCTAGAAGCTGTCGTCTTCACATTAAGTATTAATTAGGATTACTAATAAACTGACCAAGACAACTGAAAAGGTATTACTGTACAAGCAAACAATGCAACAGCCAATTTATACAGTACACCATTTTTATTTTATATAATTAACTCTCACATAGATCCCCAACGGTGTCGTAGTTCACAAGATGTACTAACACTTCAGAAGATTATTTGTTGATAAAGTTCCGAATTTTCACAACGATGACGATTATAACCATGCTATCTTACGACGATGAAACTGGGGAAGAAAAAATATATATTCAAGCTCCAAATTAGAAGTTACACAAGGTTCATAAAAATTACAAAGTTTATTGATGTTAATTTTGTATGATCGTCGAGATGTAATTCATTATACCACCAGTACAAAATATTTTTTTTTCCCCCATTTTCTTGAAAAAAAAAGTCGGAAATAAAGTGCAATGTTACGAATTCATAAGTAGCTTTTTTTTCTCGGAGAAATGTTTGCGTTCTCTCAAACAACTAATCTTACATGCACACAAATACGAGGATAATATTTTATATAAACACGTTTATACACATTCAAACGTACAAGAAATTAATCCCTTTAATCACGATTTACCACTATAATTTACACGGATAATTTACATTCTGAGATAAAATATTCTATAAAACTATATAATAGTACCTGCGGGTTGTATCCCTCATTCTGTAGTCGCATATCTTCCTTTGTGATTAACGAATCTTGGTAGCTTTTTGCTTCTTCGTCTTTACGCCTCTCGAGCGCTTTTTTATCGTATATGTCGTTTTCTTTCCTTTGCTCTTTATTCAGTATCTGTAAATGGACAAATGTTTTATGCTTTATAATGCTAGTTATTTGAAGAAGGAAAACGGAAAACTATTTTTTCTTTTGCGATAGAGTCTCAACTTTTATATGGGAGTTCTTGAAAATTAAAAAGCAAGTTTAATGTTTTAGAAATGTACACAGTACTTTTTAAACATATCAGCAGTAGCAAAATAAATAGGAGGAATAAAAAAAAACTGTTGAGTTTAACTAAAGAAAACTAAAGGTGTCTAATATTTATGTGTAAGTTATACCTTCACTACCAAGAACTTTATTTAGTTATGAACGTAAATACAGAATGTTTGTTTTACATATCAATTTGAATTATCAATACCGAACGGTTAAATATTCACCGTCACTTCTATATTTCAGAACGTTCAATTAAATGTATGGCACTCTGTTTATCGTTTTGTCATTCAATAATATTCCTCGGCTTGACACAGACTAAATCAAAATCTTTACTTCAGTCACTTACGGAGTACAGCATACAGACCTGAGACAGTTGAACCGTTAGCCAAAGTATTTTCAACGACTACAGCATACAGACCTGAGACAGTTGAACGTTAAAAATACTTTGGCTAACGGAGTACAGCATACAGACCTGAGACAGTTGAACATTGAAAATACTTTGGCTAACGGAGTACAGCATACAGACCTGAGACAGTTGAACATTGAAAATACTTTGGCTAACGGAGTACAGCATACAGACCCGAGACAGTTGAACATTGAAAATACTTTGGCTAACGGACTACAGCATGCAGACCTGAGACAGTTGAACGTTGAAAATAGTTTGGCTAACGGAGTACAGTTTGGCTACTATTGATGCCAAAGATGAAACTAGTTTTATCAAAACTTAACCAATGATATGTAACCATTAGAGCTGGCGCAGAATCAGCCATACGCAGTGGTTACACAAGGATACAAGTACTACGAATTACAGAATGAATTAGGGTTGAAACTCAAATAAATTGGATAGCTACTTTAAAATTACGAAACATATGCACAAAATCATTACAGGTTGGTTTGGTTGTTTGGCGCAAATCAACTGGGCTATGTGCATCAAACAACCGGTAAAAACGTAAAAGTAAAAATTCTATAAAAGGTAAAAATAAATCGAGTTAAAAACTAAATAATGTCCAAAAGTCACATACAAGACTCAAGTAGGATTAAAAAAGCCAATGGCTCGTAAAAAGTTAAAAATATAATTAAGTTGGACAGTGTCACCATCGCCAATAACACAGTCCAACGTCAGGTGTAAACCCGTAGAAAATACATGTCTAAAATCGTGTCGCCGCTCACGGTCGTAACGAAGGCACGACAGTAAAACGTGGGCTATTATGACCTAAGTGTCACAAAGGCCACACATTGGTGGATCAGTCCCAGATAAAAGAAACCGATGAGTTAAAAAGCTGAGACCAATGCGTAGCCTAGCCAGGACAACTTCCTCCTTCCGATCCTTACTGAACTGAAACAAGACGGCCAAAGAACAACAGAAGGTTTGATCTGGAAAAGCTTGTTATGACGTTTCTCACACCAAGTCGACTGCCAACTGGCGCGAAGCCGAGCCTTCAATACAGGACTGTAGTCCATATACGGGATAGGCTCGGCTGTGATGGCACCAGAGCAGACGGACTTACCTGCGGAATCAGCGAGCTCGTTCCCGAGAATATCGACATGGACAGGTATCCAAAAAAATTGAATACTAATGGAAGATAGAGAAAAATGGGCCAGCCGTTGTTGAATTTCGACGAGAACAGGGTGAAAACTAAATTTAAGTGATTCCAGGGCCAGTAGAGAGCTAAGAGAGTATGTGTAAATAGTACAATTGCCGTACTGCATAGCTTCTACATGATCCAGGGCAAGAGAAATGGCATAAAACTCGGCAGTGAACACAGAAATTGTAGAGGGGATCCTGTGAGCAACTGCCGAGCCACAGCAAACCATAGCAGAGCCCACAGAGTCACCTGATTTCAAACCATCCGTATAAACGGGAATAGAAGAAT